AGGATGACTGAAACAGCGCTTACAGCTGGCGAGTGTGCGCTGTAACAAGCGGAGACCGGCGAACTGCGCGGATCTCAGGAAATTCATCCTCGAGTTTATTGCAGATTCCTGAGAGGTAGACGTCGACAGACATTGGGAGGATGTATGCAGACATCCAAATGGCATAGAAGGAGAATGTATCAGGAGTTGGCATGAGGGCGAGGTTATGGAGTCGGCAGAATTCGATATATGATGCGAGTGCTGAGTCGTAAGAAGCTGATGTTGATTTAGCCAGAGTAAAACCGAGCGCAATAGCGTGCTTGTGGAGCAAATGCTCCAAAGTCCACGCCTGTCGAGACCGGCGGGACTGGTGAGATACCTTGGTCATTTTTTGGTAGCCCCCAATGCATCCTGAGGGGGTGTAAATTCATCAATGATGAGATCAAGCACTTGCCAAAGTGCTAGATGGTTATTGAATTGGGATAAAGCATCCACCACAGAGTTCTCTGTCCCTGGGACGTGATATACATGTAGGTCGACATTGAGCTAGATCAAGACATTCACTGCCAACATAAGGATGTTGTTATATGGTGCAGAGGCTCGCAAAGAATTGAAAATGTCGACAGTGTTAGTATTGTCGGTAAAGATGGCAATGTGACGGGGGATTGGTTCTGTCTCAGTGAGTGCGTGAATTGCACTGCACACCGCTAGTGCCTCGAAAAAGAAAATTGACCCTGTTGGTGCCTCTCCGGGTAAATGAGACTGAAATCTGAAGTTCAGGTCTGGGAACCAGTATCCAAGTCCAACGGGAGACGCATCAGTGTAGATGGTGACCACATCATCTGTTGTTTCTGGGTTCCAATCCAGAGAGTCAAGGAGTAGGACACCAGGTAAATTTTCCATATGATTGGTCAACCATGTCAATTCCTGGACGACATCGATGTTAACATAGATTTGGGCAAGTGGTTTTACCTTGTCGCGCATCTTGGCATAAACTGCAGTGAGTCCTGGTTTCAGCAGAGAAAAAACATTGAACAGCCAATTGATAGTGCCTGCAATGTGCTGGAATTCTCGCAAGGTGTGGCGATGACGAGGTACCGTGAAGGCGTGAATGTATGCAATCATCTTGGTTTTCTTTTCCTGTGGGATTGAAATGACCATACCGTTTGGATCGACGTCAAAACCTATGATTGTGAGTCGCCGACCAAAGAGCTGCTTAGCAGGTTCATGAGGGATGCTGAGTTTGTCCCAAAGTTGAAGCAACAGCACTTGCTTCCGAGGCACATAGGTACCGTAAGGCTCATATAGGAGCACATTACCTTCTAACTCGAATGAGGAAGAATCATCCATGTAGAGCTTCAGATGCTCGATCATCATGACGACGCTCACAATCCACGTCACGAGTGACATGAAAGAGACCCAGATTAGAGTGGATCCTCTCCCGCCAAAATTATTGCAGCAGTCCACATAATGATTATTGTTCATGGTAATTACTTGCTTTAGTTGCCAAAGAGGATGCATTGGCAGCCGATGGTAGGCCTGAGAAACGTCCGATTTGAAAACAACCAGAGGAACATTTCCATGCTCTCGCCGGAACTGAAGGAGGCTAAGACCGAGTGAACGCATCCCATCAAGTTTAACACCTGATGAATCATCAAGGTTGATCATGGAGTTGAGTGAAAATTCCCTGGCGCTGTGGTCTACCACAAGACAGAGTTTGGTTGAGTTAGGTTTTGGGATGACGTGGACTGGTGTGCTGTACATGCCAGTGAGTAGATTTGGTCCAAATGGGGCCGATAAATGACCTAGGTGGACTTCTTCATCGACTTGCTCTTGAACAAAAGCTTGATGCTCTTCGTTCTTGAGCAGTCGATGAGAATTGTCCCACGTCAAAGGGTATCCATCCATAGCAGTATCTGTGCACAGCCAGAAACCCTCGCGCAGACCATCCAGGATAGACTCGACGAAAGGACAATTAGGATGCTCCTGAATGAGTTCACGGAGCACGCTAATATTGACGGGAGTGATGATTGCAAAAAGATCAGGACGAGAATTCAGCGAATTCAAAGCAGTCTGTGAGAAATCGCGGTTTCCCGGACGAGGTAGGGGGGTTGCATACAAAGAAGATTTAGCTGTAGGGCTGAAAGAGGACTCATCTATGAACCATGCCATTCCCCGTAAGTACCGAGGGCGTTTGATAGCAGAATTAGTTTGATGAGGAGCGAGAGGGGCAGCTCTTTTCAGGGTGCTCTGCGCTCCCGCACTTTGCACATACATGCCGGTAGTTGCAGGATGAATCTGACCGGCTACAAGTCTTGTAGTTCCATCGCTTGCAGTAATCAGAGCCTCGTCGGCGTTTTGAACCGCTTGAGACCCCCTCATCATTGACACAGTGACCTGAGAGGGAGAAGTGCCCTTCATAGAGGTCTGAAAACTGGTCAAAGTTGGAGAGTTGTAAGTCTCTCCTCCGACTGACGCGTTTCCTGACTGCCTTGTCAAAGGCGATGACACAGGAATGGTACTTGCTAACATTTTGGGCGAATTTTTGATGGATGAAGTTTCCATAGTCTTCGAGCTCGTCAAGTGGATGCAGGAAAGCAAATCACATTGCATGCGAGAAGAGCAAGTACGCGACATTCCAGTCCTGCGAGCTTCACACGGACTTTGCAGGTTTGGCCTCTCCGCCAACCTTAATTTTGAATTTTCCGAGCTTTTCCTCATGGTCATGTTCTGGTTCGTCTGAGTACCATCCTGTAAAGACAACATCGAAGTTGACAACTCTTCCTTGGATGATATTGTAGAGTTCAGACTCAGGGAACTCCGGGACGAATGAAGACTCAAGCCACTTACGCTTGACCCGCTTGGGGTCATGGGCCCAATTCGCGAGAATAGAGTTGGTCTTTCATAATGAGACAGGGAGTTTCTTTGTCCTTCTAGTGACGGAAGGGTTTGTGAGATTTGAGAGGTTGAGTTTAAATCCTCACTGCTTTTTACGCACTGGTCCGTCATCCTCTGAATCAGAGTTGGATTTGTCAACCTCTGACTCAGAGTCCTTTTCGGACTCTGAGTTATCTGATGGTTCCACACTATCACGGTCTCCTCGCGACTCTTCTCCATCTTTTGAAGTCTCTTCTTTGCTCTCGCGATCTTGTTCTCCAGCTTGGATAACTTGCTTTTCAAAGGAGTCAAGCATCCAGTGATAAGGACTGACGAGTTCGGCAACTGTTCGCCCTCCGAACTCATTCCTGTTGACATACAATGCTCGCTCGAAGATTTCAAGGATTGCATTGGTCTTTGTGAGCGTTCCTCGCCTATAATCTCCAACAAAGCTCAAACAATCAGAATTGAAGGTGTTTTTTTTGTGGAGAGGGGCTTCGTTCTTCTGAAGGCTGTTTAGAAGGAGACTGCTGTGAAAGAGAAATAGTGACTAGGCTGGTTAGAAACTAGCGCTACTTATCCAAATAGGCGCGAGTGTAGTATTCGACCCAAGAGGGACTGCTATTGAAGCAACTCCCTTCTAATATGCAAGGGTAGCGATAGCGCGAAGGACTAATAACCTATAGCGACCTAAGACCAAAAACCGATGAGTAGCGCTATAGCAATCAGCGACTAGTGACAAGTGAGTTCCGACAGAGAAACGTGCGTATAAGTGAGTAGCGCTGTGCAAGTTGTTTTGTGCGATAGCGCTATGCGACGTCCGACTAGCGACAGCGAGAAGAAATCAAAGGAAGGGAAAGCGAGGAATAAGGTAAGATAGTGCAAGTGAAATGCCCAATAGCGACTAGATTATAGCTCGACTACCGATAGCGATCCTGACATTGCGAAAATCAAACTTATGAGGGAACTTTAGCGGCGCACACTCAAAGCAAGTCAAGCGATGCGCGATCAGAGAGATTGGCAAGAGCGGAATTGATTGCACCAAAACTAGGATATAGCGACTAAAGTGACTCCGACACCAGCAAAGGTCCAGGGAAGGGAAGTACTGTACTGTATGTAGGACGGGTCATTTTATCATACTGCATAGGGGTTCGGGATTGCATAGGCAAGTATAGTAGCGACACTGGTGAGGGCACGATGTAGCGACAGGTAATAGAACATGCAGCACTGTGGAACATGAGGACACATGTAATAAGACCTGCGACTGATGAGTAGTGACATTTAAGGAAATATAACACACCAGCGGAGGTAGGTGGACATAGGCAGGACATGGGAGGGCGGAATACCTAGGTGTCGGACCGGGTAGCGCGCTATGGGAGAAAAGTGGTTCCAAAGCGGATAGCTTGGGAGCTGAATAGCGCTGGTGACTAGCGCCTTACTCTTTTCCTCTAGGCAAGGCAAAATATGCCTATGACACTCATACGCGCCTAGCGCTGGTATGATTGTCACACTGCGAATCACTACTAGTTTGAGTTTGAGAATTTTGGGATTTAGGATCCATGCGCTTTTAGAATAAATGATGGAACGAGAGAAACAAGTTCAATATAGCAAAATTTTCTGTTTCACAGCGGTAAAACAGAAAAGATGCGGTTCACCTGAGCGCAGGTGCCCAAATATACATTAAGAGAGGGGCTTGAAGCCACATAAGCACAGCAGTGCATGGACCATATCAATGCGCGATCACGGTCATTGAAATTGCCTCACGGATTAAACCTGCGAAAACAACTTTTACCTCCAATATAAATGGGCTGAAAAGTGTTGTCTGAGGCATCTGCCATAGGGCATGAGAAAGTGAGTCCATCAGTAGACAATGTTGAAGCTCATCAGTAAACTACAACTTTCCTCACAGAGATCACAGATTTGGCATCTAGTGACAGGAAGCCACAGTGCTCTACAGTCATGCAGGCTCACAAATGACAGCAATGAAACACTCACAATTCAAACAGACTCCCAGTTAATGAGGCTCCTACTGTACTACACCAGCTTAAGAAGTACTGTACTAGTAGTAGTATGTACCATTATTTCAAGTTAGTTAGTAATACTCATTAGAACCTTCAAGTTAACACTTATACTAGAGCAGTCCATTTTTTTTCAAAAAAAAAATTCCAAATTTGTGTCTTTGAGAGTGTAACTCTATGTAAGACAATACTATCTAGTCTTGGGGGCCCCTGTGCCCTCCCACACCTCTAGATTCATGAATGCCCTGGTGTGAGGCTTGCCTCCACCGGTCCGCCGTTCCCGCCGCGCGTTTTAGACATGCAATCTAATGAAGGAAAGGTGACTTTAAGAAGATCGCACAGGTAAGTAACTGGACAGGTAAGGATTGTCTGGACGTGTTCTCGGCCGCCGAAGCGACTGGTATAGGAATCTGGTTGAATGCAAAGTATGGTAAAAGAATGGTTCCTCTAGTGACGGAGAGGAAGGTTCTGATGGATTTGACTGATTTCAGTGGAGGCCGTTGTAGAGACTTGTGTTTCTGCAGGCACATATGGGCACATTTCGCACCTTTTCACAACTCATGACAATTGGCCTTCAATGCACGACTCGCACCATCAGCTATATTTGACTTCTATCATGTCCCTAGTCGTTTTACACATAATGCGCAGCTTTCCCGTGAAACGCGCCATAGGCGCGGTACTTTCCCGCACAACGCGCAGCATTCCCACACGCGCACCTTGCGCGCTTTCTCGCGCTCAAGCGCCCTGCATCACCCTGCATCGCCCTGAATCACCTATCATCCAGGAACGTCCCTCTATGTCCATCCACCTCATTGGTACGTCATATCCCTTGCCTCGTGGTTTGTAACAAGCATTGCAGCGCTATTACATGCCATTACATATTTTTTAGCGCTTACTGCTCCTATCCCTTCCGCTTCCGATGCGATTTCCATAGTATAAAGTTTGCTGACTTACTACTCCATCATTATTACTCCCCTTTGCTGTACTTCCCTCGCTATTGGGTTTTACTTTAAAGTAGTAGTCACCACTTGGGCGCACTTTGTGTTTCCGATGGTTATTGTTATCCGCCTATACTAGACCTTTATCCGCGCTCATTATAACACTCACTCTGCGTTTGCACTCGCTTTGCACATCCGCTTCCTTATCCGTTTCCTTATCCGGTATTTTCCACACAACGTGCGCCTTAGCGCTCACGTTCCCACGCTCGCGCTTACCTTAGTGCGCTCTCTCGCGCTTTGCGCTCACTTCGCTTTTCTTCTTGTGCTTTCGCACATCCATCGCACTCAAGGGTCTTTCTTTCATCTGGTTCTGTGTTCAGTAGCAGTCCCCTTTAGGGTCGAACGTTCTTGCATTCTGCGAGTATAGCAGCTAGGCAGAGCCAAGACTCACTTATACTGGTTGAGCATTTTAGATATTTCATATCAGCCCAGCCAGGTTGTGAGACCCACACTGTGATTCCGTATAGGCGAGTGAATATGGTTGGATTGTGAGATTATAGGTTTGGGTTATTTGAGGATTAATTGAGTCGTAGCGGTAATGGTAACGGGGGGGAGATGCCGAGGTAGAGGTCGTGTTATATGGATGGGGTAGGATAAGGTACAGCGTTGATTGGCAGTTGATGATGTGTACAAGTGGTTCAATCTGTAACTGAGAGGTGTTTGTCAATTTGGACGCTTCGATAGCATGGACACTTCACCAAATGTGGTTTTCATTCTACCAGTGGCGTTGATGTATCTTACGAGGTGCGGGATGGCTTCTTCACTTGTCAGGGACATATTGGATGGATGTGGCCTTGCGGCCCAGTGCGCAGATCAGGGTGTGACGTTCCTGGCTATACTTAGGGCATGTGAACAAGTAGTGATGGATGTTCTCGTCGATATGTGGACAGTGAGGGCAGGAGGAGTTGGGAGATTTGCTGATGCGGTGAAGGTGCTGGTTCAAGGGAGCGTGGTGGGTGCAGAGGCACATTAAGAGTCCTGTGAGGCGTTTAGGGTAAGATTTGGTTAGCTTAATGAAGGAATGATGTAGGATATTAGGATCGATACTATGCGTGCGTGCATAATGGGGGGATTTAGCCCAGATTCTTGACCACTGGGCTTGAGTGGAGTTACGGTGTGCTTGCTTGAGGGCCGAGATACTCAGAGGAAGTGAATCTTGACGAAGGTAATGAGGTAGCCTGGCACGAGGGCTGTTGTTCTGACTGCCCCTCCATGGCTTTCTTTGCCTGTTTATCTGCTTCCTCGTTGCCATGAATGTCAGAGTGGCCTGGTACCCCAATGTACTGTAACGTTAAAATCATCGCGATCATTAGCTAGTGTCTGCATCATGCGCCGAAAACGGTCTGCCAGGTATGAGCCGGGACGAGTGTGAAAACTGTTACCACATTGGATTGCTGCTTGGTTGTTGATGGATATGGATACAGGGAATTGAATGTTGCGTTCTGTGGATATTAGTTTTGCTGCCTAATGTTAGTCCTACCTCCTTGGCTTTGAAGATGGTGTGCTCGTCCTTGGTGCCCTAAGTAGTAACGTAGTACTCGTGGTACTGCGCCTGCACGAAATAACACTGCGGATGCTCCAATTTTATCATTGTGGCCCGAACCATCACAATAGACCTGAATTGGTTCTGTCATTTGTTCGTGCAGTGTCGTGGCTTCTTCTCGTGAGGGTGCAATGTTGGTCTTGAAGGGGTTCTTTGTGGTTGGTGGGCGTCTTGCGGGGATTAGGGTTTCAATTTCATCTGGTATAATGGAGAAAAGACGGGTGAGTTTTGTGCAGTGAGGAGCGGTGAGATGATACATAGCGCTTGGCAGTGCACCTAACTGGGAGGTATAGAGGGTGTGTTGCTGGGTGAGCGGTGATATGAACGATGGCTCTATGACAGATGTTATGAAGGGCAAGCGTGATAGGGAGGATGTTAGCATGAGCTTCGAGGACGTCTCCTGCGGTGGTCCGCATGGCTCCAGTGATGGCTAGGGTAGCGAGTCTCTGCACAGATGTGAGTCTTTTGGCAACCCCCAACGAGCCTCGCTGAGTGACATCAGAGCCTTCCTTGAATGAGGGTGTATACCAGAGGTCGGCCGCATACATCATCTTCGGTATGGCGACAGCTTGATATAGTTGACGCATGAGAGACAGTGGGAATCCCTTGGCCATTGTGGAGAGACGACGGATCTGGCAGACATATGCTGTGCCCTTGGCCACTGCGTTATCGACTTGAGCGGACCATCGAAGCTCTTGATCCAGGATGATACCAAGGAAGCGATGGGATGCAGTGGGATGGATGGTCAATCCTTGGATGATCATGTCGGGGTGGGATCTGCGTTTGTTCATAGAGAAGTCCATCAGTGTGAATTTATTGGTTTCAAAGTGCGAGGTGTGATCGCGTGACCATTCAAATCCACCTCCAGGGCGTTCGAGCATGTCAGTTAGCATGGCATGTGCTGTCTCGAAGTCATCTGCTATTGCAATAAATGTTGCGTCATCCACGAATGCCAGAGTCAAGTCCTTCAGAGTCTCTCTCCCTCGCCGTTGCTTCACAACTTCTACCAAATCAGAGTTATAAATAATATAGAGAATCATGGATAGGGGATCCCCCTGTCCTATACCATTAGTAATTGGGATCCAGTCCGATGTGTATCCGTCGAAGCGCAGTTGAGTGAATCTGTCTGTTAGTACTCGCTCCGTGAACTCTACCATCTCACGAGGGATGCGACACATCCGCATATTGTGGAGGAGGCGGCTCGTGACTGCGTTGGGGAATGCCCCTTCAATATCCAGGAAAAGAACAGAGGCCACCCGGTGAGAGCGCCAGGCGTCCTTAATGGTAGCTTCTAGGAGATGAAGGGAGTCAGCAGTTGAGTGACCTGGCCTACCTCCAAAGTGCGTATTTGGCAGGAGTTGGTGGTGTTCTAAAGTGTAGGTCAGTTGTTCAGCGGCGACTGCCATCAGGAGTTTACAGGTTGTGTTGAGAAGCGCTATGGGCCTATATGCCTTTGGGGCCGCATAACTGGGCTTCCCAGGTTTGCGTAGGACCACAGTTGTGAAGCGGCGCCATGGTTCATAGTAGGTCTTGTGAGTGAAGACGGCATTGAATATATGTAAGAGGTGTGGAATCAAGGTGGGCGCGCAGCGCTTGAAAACAATATTACAGATGCTGTCAGGGCCTGGAGCTTTGTAGCCACTAAGGTTAGTAATAGCATGGGAGAGTTGGTCTGCAGTGAAAGGGGTGTGCGGGGTAACCAGGTCGGGGTAGATACAGTCTGGTGGTACATGGTCAGTGATAGGCGGAGGAGGAAAGGAAAAGCTTCTGCAATCAGTAGGCTTTTCTCATGGTTAGTTGACACTTCAACAGAGGAGCCGTCTGGACGCGTGATAGAGAGAGTTGGAACTTGAGTCTTACCCCCGTCCTTAGGGTCGGACATTACATAGCGGTTTGCAGTCCAGATGTCATTGCCTTCCAAGTCTTCGAGCCAGTCTGTCCAGTGTTGTTGCTTGGTTGAGGCAATGGAGTCCGTGTATTGAGTTTTGAGGGCCTTCAGCTCCTCGTGACACTCATGGAGAGGCAGGGCGCGCATTTGGTATGAGAGGCGACTGAGACTTTTTACCTTCTTCCGCAGGACAGTGAGCTCCCGGGTCCACCACCTCTTGGAGTGGGGACAGGGTTTTGAGATCGGTACATGGACGTCGATGGTGGAGGTGATGGCCTCCGTTAAACAACGAGTGGCAAGCTGAAATTCATCATTAGTGGCTAGCGGTTGAGGAGGATGGGGAGTTAGAAGGTCTTGAAGGTGCTTATTGAATTGTTCCCAGTTTACTTCTCTCCAATTCCTCTGTGGCGTGATGTTGACACGCGGGGTCTCTAGTTGGAGGACAAGGTGTATGGGGACATGGTCGGTCTTCGGGCCTCTTAGTTCTGGCGCTGTGGTGCAGGTGATGATTGCATCGAGGATTTGCTCCGTGCCGAAAACATTGTTGGGGCGAGTCCAGTCACTGGTACTGGAGGATTGGAGTGTTGGGAGGTTGCAGGGTATCAGCTGTATCATTCCGAAGTCAGCGATTAAGTCTATGAGAGGGTTAGCAGTAGTATAGTTAAATAGGTGCCAGTTGTGCATTTCTTCCCAGAGCGGGTGATGGCGATTAAAGTCTCCCATCCAGAGCATATGGTCGTCTATAGTGGGGCATAGAGTCATGATGTTGCGTTCGATAAAGGTGTTGAGGGTTTCGAGTGTTGATTGAGAGTGGCAGTCATTGTAGATATTGAAAATTGTACATTTGCCGTAAGGACCAGATAATTGAAGGAGCGTGATATTGGAGGAGGGGAAGGGGATCTGCTTCCATAGGTTAGTGTCAAGAGATGTGCTGACTAATGTGATGGCGCGAGTTCATTGGCGAGGATGGGTGAAGTGTTGCGTAGGGTATATCACATGCCAGTGGTGGTTGGCAGAGGTGTTGCAGAGGAAGTTGATGTGTGGTTCTTGAATAAGGATAACGTCCCAGTTGGATGCTTCTGGGCTGTTGAAAGGGAGGCCTGGGCGGTCATGGATGTGTTAAGATTCTGTTGCCAAATACGCAGACGGACAGTGGGTTCGTTCCAGTGTTCAGACATTAGACACGGGGTGGGTGGAGCTGTCTGGGGGGGAAGAAGGGTTAGTGAGGTTAGTAGAGTCAGAGTCAGAGGAATTGGGAGGAGGAACGGATGCAAGACGGTTGATGAGGTCTGTGAGAGCCGGGGTTTGCAGGCCTTGAGGAGTGCGTGGGCGAGATGCAGTGCATGGATGGAAGGGGATGGTGGTTTGCTTGGAGATTCGTTGTTGAGGAGTTTGAGCCCTTCGAGGCGCAGGATATGAGATCAGGAGAGAGCGTGGCGGTTGATTAGCATGCATCCAGGATAGTTTCTGTCGGAAAGTATGGCATGGAGTTCTCCGGATATTTCTCATTAATGAGTTGGCAGCGTTGGATGAAGTCGGGACAAGAACGGTTTCCAGCTGGTGTGGTGGTGACTCCGGCAGTGACACAGATGGTGATGTGTGAGGATGCGCATTCGGTGGTGCGATGTTGGCCACTGCATGTGCCGCATACATCGACGTCCACAAGACAGTTTCGTGCTATATGTCCATATTTCTGGCACTTGGCGCATCGGATAGGCTCACGCTTGTCTTTGTGGACCGCTATCCGTTCATTGTTAATGCATATACCTTCCTTGAGAATGAGATTTGCCGTGTGAGGGTCTGCAATATGGAATAGTGCGAAGGCCTTGCGTTGGTTTGCAGATCTACATAGAGGAGGCTTGATCCACCAGACGGATGTGATCGAGTTGGTCAGGAGACTGTTGTCCTGCTCTACTGACCTGAGGAATGCCTCGTCCTGGATCTGGAGCTGGATGGGGAGGTATTCAGCGACGATAG